ATTCTAAGTCGAGCCATGAGATTGACTAGCGTGATCTCCGACTGCTTGTGGCGTAGTCCCTTTTGAATGTCCTTCCAAGAGTTTGGTAATTTGTCAATTATAGCGGCCACTTGCATTTGTTCATCCACCTTGATGCCTTCATATTGAATTTCATGAACTATATTTTGTAGTTCATGTATTTGAACAAGGACAGATTTGTTTTCTGCCATTTGATACTTGAAGTAACGGCTACAAGCGTATTTCTTGGCTCCAGCTTCTTCAGTATCATATTTCTTTTGCAAAGCCTTCCAAATCTTTTTAACTGTGGAATAAGAAGTGGAATAGTAATCATAAAACTCATCGGATAAGCAATTAAGAAGATAGTTTTTACAATCTTCTTCATCACTTCTCCATTTTTGAACACTTTGTTCGTGCTCTTGCTTCTGTTGCTCATCCATGTCATCAACACGGATTTTGGTTGGATTTTTGGCCGTAAGTACCCAAGCTACCTTCATGAGTTTTAGGTAGAAAAGTACTTTTTTTAGCCCATCTTTTGAAGTGTTCGCCATTGAACTTGAAAGGCTTGTTGAGATCTGTAGAGCTTTCGACGGATGTAGGGACAGTAGAGTTAGTGTTGCTCTCCATTTTAGTATCGTCTTAAAATTGTTGAAGGAGAGTACACGAACAATCTCTGATCTTCAAAAATAACCACCTTGGAATTGACAACTACTAAGAAGTTCGGTAGGGCTGAGGCGCGTAGAACGCTCTCTTTAAGACGATACGCGCCCCTACGGTGCTTTTCAAACCGATGCAGAAGGTCTAGCGCGCCGCCTCCAGGATACAACAGCCCAACTCTATAGTTGTTACTTCTCTTTGATCTGCACAACCAAGAGAAGCAAAAGCTTCCCAATATCCTTCTTTGCCCAAAGAAAACAGAATGAAGGAGAAAGAAATAAATGTGAGGAGGATAGTATTTTAGAGTGATTTTTTGTTGTGAGAAGAAGTGTGTCAAAACCTTTTGAGAACTCCACTATTTATAGGCTACAAAATCTTAAGTAAAAGAAAAACTAATGTGTAACAGTTTTTCATATTAAAACGTAGTTAATAGGTAGAATTAGTAACCTAAAGAGTTAATTCACATTTGAATGGGTTATAAAGACTTATTCAAATAATCCTTTTGTAACCCCCACAATAATACATAATGTCTTATTCAAAATTCTTTTGTAACTCCCACAATACCAAATAATTCTTTTGTAACTCTTATTCAAAAAAGTAACTCACAATTATAACTCCATTCAAAATGCAATGTAACTCCCACAATAACAATTTACATAACTCACCAATGAATACTATTGTAACTCCTTGAAAAGATTTATCCAAAAATTAAGATTTTATTAAAATACACCAACATTCCCCCACTTATTTTAATAAAATCTGAAAAAAAATAAAAGGACATTTGGGCAAAGTGAGAATATCATGCATAGTGAAAGTGGCATTGCCTTGAAACCTTCACTTAGTGTTTCCATAATCCTCATATTAGAGTCAAAGTGGACTAAAGCCTTGAAACTAAGACTACTTTAAGATATGTTAGATTATGTCACACACATGATATTCAAGATATTAATTAATATGCTTCTTAAGCCAGCACATTACGGCCTTGTGCTTTATCCTAGATTCATGAATGCTTTAGAAAATTAGCCAAATTCTCATAGGAAGCGGCCTTTACTTCCACACTCATATAGGTGAGTCTATCAAGAATGCCCCTATGACTAAGGCATCCTACCCATAAAGGGCTATAGAACTCATTAAAAGATTTATATCAAATCTTAACCTTTTCTTCGTCATAGAACCACGAGCATGCTTTACACCATGGGAAGGGATTTAATATACGCATGCTTTTCACCCAAACCATTCTATGATTCGTTTATCCCTGACCTAGTTCTTGGGATCTCCAATCCCTAGGTAGTTGTATCCTCATAGATGATTCCAATTTAAAAATTTTTAGGCTCAAGTCCCATTCCCTTTGATGTTTGAGAAATTTGTTCTCTAGCTAGAGCTTTCGTTAATGGATCAGCGAGATTTTCTTTTGATATCACATGGTCTATATTTATAGCACCATCACATAAATATGATCTCACAGTACTGTGTTTTCTTCTAATAGCTCTGGATTTTCCATTATAATATTTGTTATGTACTCTACCAATTGCAGCAGTACTATCACAATGTAAAAGTATGGGTGGTACCGGTTTATCCCAAACGGGAATTTCAGATAATAAATCTCTTAACCAACTGGCTTCTTCACCGGCAGAAGCTAAAGCTATAAGCTCTGCTTCCATAGTAGATTTAGCAATAATGTGTTGTTTTTTAGATCTCCAACACACAGCTGCACCACCCAAAATAAAAATATAGCCAGTGGTAGATAATGAGTCACCAGATTGAGAATTCCAATCTGCATCACTAAACCCTTCTAGAACAGCAGGGTAATTTTTATAAAGTAAACCATAATTTATAGTACCTTTAAGATATTTCATAACACGAGTAATAGCATTCCAATGATCATAACTAGGTTTACTTGTAAATCTACTCAAAATATTTACAGCATAAGCAATAGCTGGTCGAGTACAATCAGTGGCATATCTCAAACTTCCAATTATACTTGCATATTCATGCTGATTTAACACAAATGCATCATTCTCAGTTGGATATAAATGCACACTAGAATCAAAAGGAGAGGAAACTGGTTTACAATCATAATACTTATATTTTTTAAGTATTTTTTCAATATAATGTGCTTGATCTAACATAATTCCTCTAGGGCTTCTAGTAATTTTCATTCCAAGTATTACATTGGTTTCACCCAAATCTTTCATATCAAAATTATTTTTTAGTAACCCCTTGGTATTTTCAATAATATTCAAATTAGTCCCAAAAATTAAAAGGTCATCAACATACAAGCATAAGATAACATGAGTATCTTCAATAGATTTATAGTAAATACATTTATCACTTTCATTTATTTTAAAATTATTTGATATCATGCTCTTATCAAATTTTTCGTGCCACTGCTTAGGAGCTTGTTTCAAACCATATAAAGATTTTGTTAACTTACACACTTTGTTTTCATGACCAGGTTGTACAAAACCTTGTGGTTGATCCATATATATTTCTTCTTCTAAATCTCCATTCAAAAAAGCTGTTTTTACATCCATTTGATGAATTTTAAGATTATGAATGGCAGCAATAGCTATAAGCAATCTTATTGATGTAACTCTTGTTACTGGTGAATATGTATCAAAAAAGTCTACATTTTCTTTTTGCTTAAAGCCTTTAGCTACAATACTCACATTTTTCAAAATCATTTTGAAGCTTAGGTAACAATCCAATATAACTCATATTCTTTAAGTATTTAGAATTAACATGACAAAGTCGAGCATGCCATAAATTAGTACTAGAAGCAATATAAACATAACTAGGAGATATTTTATTCATTTCAACATTCAATTTGAACATACCATCATATGCATAACCTTTTCCAACAAATGCATTATTTTTTCTAATCACATATTGATCAGAATCTATAATTTGCTTGAACCCAGCTTTGTTGAGAAGATAGCTTGAAACCAAGTTCTTTCTGATTTGAGGAGTATGAAGAACATCTTTCAAGGTTAAAGTACGGCCAGAGGTGAATTTTAGATCCACATCACCAATACCCACCACCTTAGTGGTATGTGAGTCACCAAGTAGGACCATTTTACCTTCTTCAGCATGAGTGTAGCTTTTGAACCAATCTTTATCATGGCAAATGTGCCTAGAAGCACCTGAATCTGCCCACCACCCTTCATGATTCTCTAGCATGTTCACCTCAGTTATCATAGCCACTAAAGGCTCTTCAGCTACATGAGCTTGAGGTTTATCACCATGCTTCTTAGGTTGTCCACGTTTTCTAAAATAACAATCCTTGGCTTGGTGGCCAGGTTTTCCACATACAAAACATGGACCCCTAAGAGTTTTATTATTATTAGAAGGGGTTTCTTGGTTCTTTCTAGGTCCTTTATATTGATATTGTGGTCTATTCTTATTTTTCATGTTTTTTCCTCTAGGCCTCAAGTATGCATTATTCTTAGAATTCTGACGTCTAGAGACATTATCAGTTGAAGTAATAAAATGTACCTTATTAGTGTCACCATTGCCATTGGTCTCCTCAGGCTTATCTTGCTTCCTTGCCTCCTCCTCAATTCTAAGTCGAGCCATGAGATTGACTAGCGTGATCTCCGACTGCTTGTGGCGTAGTCCCTTTTGAATGTCCTTCCAAGAGTTTGGTAATTTGTCAATTATAGCGGCCACTTGCATTTGTTCATCCACCTTGATGCCTTCATATTGAATTTCATGAACTATATTTTGTAGTTCATGTATTTGAACAAGGACAGATTTGTTTTCTGCCATTTGATACTTGAAGTAACGGCTACAAGCGTATTTCTTGGCTCCAGCTTCTTCAGTATCATATTTCTTTTGCAAAGCCTTCCAAATCTTTTTAACTGTGGAATAAGAAGTGGAATAGTAATCATAAAACTCATCGGATAAGCAATTAAGAAGATAGTTTTTACAATCTTCTTCATCACTTCTCCATTTTTGAACACTTTGTTCGTGCTCTTGCTTCTGTTGCTCATCCATGTCATCAACACGGATTTTGGTTGGATTTTTGGCCGTAAGTACCCAAGCTACCTTCATGAGTTTTAGGTAGAAAAGTACTTTTTTTAGCCCATCTTTTGAAGTGTTCGCCATTGAACTTGAAAGGCTTGTTGAGATCTGTAGAGCTTTCGACGGATGTAGGGACAGTAGAGTTAGTGTTGCTCTCCATTTTAGTATCGTCTTAAAATTGTTGAAGGAGAGTACACGAACAATCTCTGATCTTCAAAAATAACCACCTTGGAATTGACAACTACTAAGAAGTTCGGTAGGGCTGAGGCGCGTAGAACGCTCTCTTTAAGACGATACGCGCCCCTACGGTGCTTTTCAAACCGATGCAGAAGGTCTAGCGCGCCGCCTCCAGGATACAACAGCCCAACTCTATAGTTGTTACTTCTCTTTGATCTGCACAACCAAGAGAAGCAAAAGCTTCCCAATATCCTTCTTTGCCCAAAGAAAACAGAATGAAGGAGAAAGAAATAAATGTGAGGAGGATAGTATTTTAGAGTGATTTTTTGTTGTGAGAAGAAGTGTGTCAAAACCTTTTGAGAACTCCACTATTTATAGGCTACAAAATCTTAAGTAAAAGAAAAACTAATGTGTAACAGTTTTTCATATTAAAACGTAGTTAATAGGTAGAATTAGTAACCTAAAGAGTTAATTCACATTTGAATGGGTTATAAAGACTTATTCAAATAATCCTTTTGTAACCCCCACAATAATACATAATGTCTTATTCAAAATTCTTTTGTAACTCCCACAATACCAAATAATTCTTTTGTAACTCTTATTCAAAAAAGTAACTCACAATTATAACTCCATTCAAAATGCAATGTAACTCCCACAATAACAATTTACATAACTCACCAATGAATACTATTGTAACTCCTTGAAAAGATTTATCCAAAAATTAAGATTTTATAGCGAAGAAAGTCTTGTGACAAAAATTCTACTTAAACTACCCCCAAAGCCTCTCCTACGCTCCCAGTGCGTCTCCAAGCAATGGCTCTCACTTATCTCCGACCCTGCCTTCCGCCGGCAACATGCACGGGCTATCCGGACACATCCCACCTCTGATCTCCTCTTTTTCAGCCCAGATAGTGAACGCAATGAGATCGATCTCATATCGCTTTCCCCAGAGGGTGTTGATTCTGTTGGTAACGTCTCATCCCCTATAACTGATGGGATTCTGAAAAGAGGAGATGAGATTCATAGCCTGCATTCTTGCAATGGGTTGCTCTGCATGCAGATTAAACTCAAAAACAATCGCCTCCAGCTGATTGTTTACAATCCCACAACTTGCAAGCACAGGGTTATTCCCTGGTTCAGTGGTGACTATAATATGCCAATATTTCGCTATGCAAATATTGCTTTTGACCCTTCAAAATCTGATCATTACAAGCTTGTTTGCTTCGGTTTAGACCGTGACAGTGACTGTAACAACTATAGATTCTTGATATATTCATCAGAGACTGGGGCATGGAGGGTGACTGAAGATGCAGTTGGGATGTTGCCTGTTCGTTATTACTATGACAGAGGGGTTTTATGGAACGGAGACTTTCACTGGTTTGGTACTAATTATTGTACTCTGTGTTTTGATGTGCAAAAAGAACGGCTTAAACCCTCAACCCTCAAATTCCTGCTAGTTTTGGGGTTAGAAACAAGTATGATATATGGTATTTTGGGGAAGCAGGTGGGGATCTGTCTGTTATGTGTGTGAACAAGCTTGAAGCCATGTTGTTTGATGTTTTTGCACTGAAGAGGGATTATTCTCAGTGGATTCTGAAGCATCGTGTTGATTTTGCTCCTTTGACTCGGTATTACCCAAAGATGAAGGGCCCTGGATTTCATACACCTTGTTTGGTTGTGGATGAGGAGGGGAAGAAAGCCAGGATTGTGATTTCTGTGGAGGATAAGTTTCTTTCTTATGATATTACTGATATGGTTGTGAAGGAGCTTGTTGAAGTAGGGCCTGTGTATGCTGAAGTTGCTGGATGGGGTGATAGCACTTGGTACAGATGGTACGAGGCTTTCCAGCATGTTGATACACTTGCTTCAGTTTAAGGTCCGCAGATCAGTGATAAATCTCCAAACAAAATTCTCTTTGATGTTTGGTTACTGCAGTTTTATATTATGAACAAATGTTAGTATCATCTTTTGTTTACTTGTGTGTTTAGCTTTGGTATCTATAGCTAATAGCTTTATGGTGGTTATGTATAAGTTTTAGAGCTTAATTCCTGGTTTTAAGGGTGTGTTCCCAGTCCTGTTTCTCACGGTTTTTGGTTTGTAATAGTTTTCTTGAACTGGTGCTTCAAGCTTTATCATTACTGTATTCAGGAAACAACTTGTTTTGATGAATGGGAGACTTTTTTTATTTGAAGAGTTAATTTATTGTTGTGGGAAAATGCAGTCAGATTTGTAGAATGCAGGCAGATTAGTAGTGACAGTTGTTCTTTCTGTCATCTCCGTCAACATCAACATGTACATCAAAAGCATTATTAGTTTGGCTTGGATTTTGGCACAAGTGAAATTCGAAAAGATGCAGTAGCAACAAGCTGAAGGCTGAAAATCATTGAGTTTGTTTGGATAAGAGTTTATTTGGATGATTTATTTGAGATATTTACTGTAGCACTTTTTGTGATGTGATGTATGTGAGATAAAAAGATGATTGGGAAGATAAAAAGGTGATTGGGATTTGTGAAAACAAATTAAACAAACCAAATTTGGCTTGTCCAAACAAACTCATTGTACATTCAGATTGCAAATCAGTGGTTGAGCAAATTAACAGATGCAGTGAATATGCGTACAGCATTGCAACTATTCTAGAGGACGTACAGGATCTTAGAAAAGGTTTTGACAGGTGCTCTTTTGTGTTTATTTCTAGAGCAGCAAATGAAATCAGTCATGCACTAGCTCATTTTGCAGTTAAACTAGTGCATAACATTGAATGGGAAAATGACTTCCCAATATGGCTGATTGAGTTAGGGATGAAAGAAATGAGGGTAGTATCCCTTTTTTGTAATTAATACTTGTATTATCAAGTGTTAATATTAATGAAATTTGTTATCGTTTGTTGGAAAAAAAACAAGCTGAAGACTGAAGCAACAGTGAACTTTGCAGTAGCTAGTGCAAACTGCAATCGCCATATTTTCTATCATTTACAGCAATATACTGTTTGGATTGTAAGTTATTTGGGATTATTTGGGATATTTTTACTGTAGCATTTTTTGTGATGTGATGTATGTGAGATAAAAAGGTGTATTGAAAATTGTAAAGATGATGTGAGCAAATAAAATTGGGAAAATATGAAGCAATCCAAACAAACCTACGAAGGACAAAACTAGCTCAACAAATCTAAAAAATTATCTGTACGAGCATCTAAATTTGAGGTTAAAACAATTGATCTTTTTGTTGTAGTTGGCAAGGTGAAAGTAAAGTGTTTGATAAAAAATTGATCTTTTAGTTGTAGTTGGCAAGGTGAAAGTGAAGGTAAAGTATTGGTGCAGAAAGTACATGGGTCTATTCAACAGATTAACAACAAAGGTATGAATCAGTTTTATGTAAACACAAGATTCAACAAAACAAGTCTGTTATCTCTAAAATGTATTATTTATCTCTTAAACTAAATAAGTTTTTGATAATTGCATAAATCATAAAAATACATAATAGACAAAACATCAAGTGTACCCTCAAACCAAAATTCAATAAAACATTAGGACTTAATTATCAAACCTCTATATTATTCAATCAGATTGTTTAAGGTTGTCGTTATTGTCAAGTAATATCGATCACAAAAATGACACCATCTTAGAGTAGCAATTGGTGCCATTTTTTGATTGTGGTGATGGTTGTTAATTTGAGATGAAATCATTGTTAAGCTGATTTAATTAGTTAATCTCATTTATTTAATGCCCAAACATTTCTTTTATCAAATATCCATTTGTTATAAAGTAAACGTCTTAAGATAAAATAGTACTTTCACCACATGTCATATAAGTAATGGGATCTAAATTTCTAATTAGGGAGGTTAGTATAATTTTTGAAATTTCAAAGAAGCCGGTGAAAGTGTCAAAAATCTCAAGGGAGATTTCTTTAATCATCCCTTAAAAGAAAGATTAGTTAACAATTAAATAAATTTTACTAGTTGCATGCTCATTCCTAGGTGCTTCTTGGTCCTTTGGTTTTTTTGTTTTTTATGTTTTTTATCCCCTCAGCCCTTTCCTGGCACCCGAACCAAAATTTCCATCATCATGTCAATGGGAAAGTAACTTTGGCCAACTCTTGGCAGGTCATAATTGTCTGTTGACAAGACAACTCTAGCCTATGATACATTTTTTGAACAAATTTTTATCAAGCGAATCTTCGGTTGTTTAACCCACAGAATTGGACGGTTGGCACCGTCAAAGATTTAAGGGAGATCAAGGTTCATACTGGTCACCCATCACTTGTTTCAATATGTTGGCTAATTCCTTAAAATATACGTATAAAAAAAAATTATCCGTTAAATACACGTCTGACTGAAGGGCTTTCTTATTCTATACGGGCCAGCACGGTCGAATCACAGAGTCAGCACGGCCGAATCACAAAAAAATCTACCCAGTCAACATCCAATTTGGGCTGAGCATTTGTGTCAGCGGACGTGCTGACTGGGCACGTCCGCACCTGACACAAAGGTCTCTCGCACAACATTTAAAAAAAAAAAGTTTTAGGCTTTAGGATTTTTAGAGTTAGGGTACTTTAATTTGGTACTTTAAAATTTGGTACTTTAATTTTCAAATTAACCTGATTAAACTAAATTTTAATCATAATCCTAAATATACTTCATTTCATTAATATTTAAAATAAATACATTAACCTAACCTCATGATTCATGTCCCTAGATGCCTTTTCCACAAGTATTATTATTAAATTATTATTAAATGCATAATAGTTGTTAATTAACGAACGATGTATTCTAATAAACAGGAATTAATTATTATAATCGCTTTGTGATTGTGATTGGCATACATAATAATACAACCAATTCGGATAATTATTTTTTCGAGACAACATTTTTGCATCTATATTTTTACTATATTTTAACTACATTTTTAACTATATTTTGGATAATTATTTTAACTATATTTTTACCTTGCACGCAGCATATATGATATCTTACAAAAGTCCTATTACGTACATGAATTATTCATCTACATCAATATCAATCCAAAATTTTTTTTATTAATATTTGCAGATTACTTCATTTTTTTATGCAATCCAAAAATTTCTTATGTTTAGTTAATTAATATATTTTATGCATGTAAAAAGCAATAATTTTAATTAGATATTTCTAGTATTCCTATATGAATTATATTACATAGTAATTCGCCAAAAATTATACGATCAAACAATAAGTCGTAGTCGACAACACTGTATCACTATATACACTAGTTAACTCTTTTTTAACACTTCAATATTGTAAAATTATAAATAAATTATCACACCTTACATTAACTATTAATTAATAAACTATAACAACAACACACAATGCAGAAAACAAGTTTAATTAATGTCATTTGATGACAGTATAATATAACATGTAAATACATAAATAATTAACATAATATAAATAATTAACATAATTATTTAACATGTTTAATTAACATAATATAAATAATTAACATAATTACTTAACATGTTTAATTAACATAATATAAATAATGAACATAATTACTTAACATGTTTAATTAACATAATACAAATTAATATTATTATCCACCATTCAATCTCAATTTTTTAAAAATTAACTAATCAAGGTGACGAAGCACAGATGAACCTGATGGAGCTGCCTGAGTATACTTTCTGCAACCTATCAAAATTAACGAACAGAAGTTGTACTACTACCACCCTATTAAATAAAGTTTCGGCCAACAAATTTTTTCAAGCCTTCATCGTCTCTGTCTCCAGCAAAACTGACTAACCACGGGCTGCTTTCAACGACTCCGCACCTGACAGAAGGAACGAAGCCAAGCAGTGGCTGCTTTCACCGAATCCGAAGCCAAACTGAAGGAACGAATGCAAGCAGCAGGAGGAGCTGCTATGCTATACATGAGACAGAGAAAGCGAGAGCAGCGAGACGTGCCGACTGGACACGTCCGCACCTGACACAAATGCTCAGCCCAAATTGGATGTTGACCGGGTAGATTTTTTTGTGATTCGGCTGTGCTGAGTCAGCACGGCCCGTATAGAATAAGAAAGCACCTCAGTCAGACGTGCATTTGACGGATAATTTTTTTTTATACGTATATTTTAAGAGAATTAGCCCAATATGTTGTGCTTTTAAATTTATTCGAGTGCATAGTGCACTTATTTAATTTAATAATAATTTTGTTTCAATCAATTTTCAGTTAGATCTCTCCCCTTAAATTAGATTAAAAATAGAAGTAGATATAGTAAACATAAGTGATGAATGACAAAAAAAAAAATTCTTATGTTGTTTAACAAAAAGTTACAGTTAAAACAAGGGATATAATACATTATGATATATAAACTCTTTCTTATATATTTACACACACAAAAAGATTTTTTTTGCATATATAAACACATTTTTACATACATAAATATATTTTCACATACTAACACACAAACCTACACTCACTTCTTAAACTTCTTGGAAACACATCATAAATAAAACAATATTTTATATTGTTTGTATTGCGAATTTTAGATAATAAATTGTACATTAAAAAAATTTTGTTTACTTTATACTTGTTAATACCACTAATTGATTGCAACTTATTTTTATCATAACTTATTTAACACTTTTACTATTCATTTCTGCTCTATTATAAGTTGTAATATTCTGTGTATTTAAATTATTGAATGCTAGATTATATTATACTCGAAAATGTAACTAAGAGACATATATAATTTGTTGTATTATACTATTGATGAGAAATTATTAACAATGAAATAAAACAAGTTAGAGAAAAGTAAAATAATGTAATTAGAACAAAATATAAAATTCTATTCTAAGGTACACGAATATTAACAAACATAAGTAAGGAGTAATCTAAGAACAACAA